TGAGAACTTTTAAGATCTTTTCTCTTAGTAACTTTCATATGTACAATATGGTATTAACTATATTCATTTTGATTATTTTTTTAGTTTGATACAAATATGTGGTGTTTTGGGTCATAGAATATGAATATTATAAAACTATTTTATGTATACTGTGAAATTTTATTAAGGAAAGTTTTATACATTCAGTGATATGACTGATGTCACTGGCTAATGCCTGCTCATGCTTCCTTGCATCCATGTCTACAATGAAAACCATGCCATAGGTATTATAGACATCAAATAATGTCTGCACATAATAAAGTACAACTTTTCATGTGATATATCAAATATTTGTGGCCTGTGAGAAAAAAGATTGGGTTTTAAATCAGGCATTTAACAAATGCTAACAGTGAATGTGGTCAAGTTGTTTAACATCTATGAGGTTATTTCCCCTACTGTAAAGAATATAACTGTCTTGAGCGGTTTTGTAAGAATTATAAATAATGTATGCAAAGTAAACCATACAAAGTTGGGTCTGGGTTGATGATAATTATAAAGTCTAGGAATAATGCCAGGAAATACTACAATAAACTGAGTTGGAACGACAGCTCTTCTCAGCAGGTGAAATCAGTGTTTTAATGACCTGAGGTTGCCAGGAGCTGGATTCCACTTCTCACATCAATTCTTAAAGTGCTTTTATGAGCCCACATCAATCCTTTCATAACTGTAGTATCATTAAACCCACGATAGAAATCCACTGATCACTTGCCTTGCTCTTTTAAGAGGTGATTAGGGCAATGCTGTGATGCTCACTGGAAAAGGTGAAAATGATCTTCACAGTAAAAAATGCATTATGAAATGAAAAAAATAATTGATTTGTCCATGATTTATAACACATATATATTTAATTTATGTTCACTAAAATTGATATATATATTCAAATATAATTTGGAAACTATATATGCATATTTATAATTTAAGTGCCTCTAATACTTATTGATCAGGATTTAAACAAAATATTACTTTTGCTTAAATTTTGGATTATTTTATGTGGAGACACACCTGTTTGAAAGCATTTGCAATGGAATGCTTTTTATGACATTTAAATTTTAAAGTAATTTGCTCAGGTATACATCCTTATGTGTATAGGGATTTGCCGCTTTATCCCACGCAGCAACTGTTCTGTTCTGGTTCTTTGTAATTTCTTATGTAGAGGACTCTGATAAGAACCTAACTCCACTCCTGGTATCTAATTTATTTGGTCTCAAATAAATCCTCTACCCCAGGGATGAAAAACTGCCCCTGCCACCACCAGGGCAGATCTAATCCCCAATAGTGTTGTTTGGTCAGGAAGAAACTTTAATACTGACCATTGGAATTTCAATACATATAAGAAAGGAATGCATTCTCCAGATCACCATTGATCAAACAATCCCTGATTCTTTCCCCATTAGCAGTACCTACTTAGTACACAAAGATCTAATTTTTTCATCTCTATACTAAACTGTCACCAGAGTATTCCTTTGGTTCTCAAATTTGATCAAGCTAATTTTCTTCTCAAGAATCCTTCTGGTTCCCTATTAGCCTCCTATACATTTTTTTAAAATATTGTTTTCATTGATTTCAGAGAGGAAGGGAGAAGGAAAGAGGGATAGAAACATCAGTGATGAGAGAGAATCATTGATCTGATGCCTCATGCATGGTCCCCTACTGGGGATCACACCCACAACCCAGGCATGTGCCCTGACCTGGAGTCAAACTGGGACGTCCTGGTTCATAGGTCAACACTCAACCACTGAGCAATACTGGCTGGAAAGCCTCCTGTACATTTTAACATGTCAATCAGTCCTTTATCTATCTTTAAACTTTTTCCCCAGGAAGAAAAACAAGCATTTATTGAGGACCTAATGTTTTACAGACATTGTGCTAAGGACTTTGCATTAATGTAATGTTTTTGGTCCTCATAATAATCCTATATTTAAAAAATAAAGAAATAGAGTTTGAGAGGTTAAATACTTTTGTCCAAGGACATAAACTAGTAAATGGCAAAGCTAAAATTTAAAGTAGTGCCTACCTCATTTTAAATATTTTGCTTTTTTTTCACTGTCCCAGTGGAAAAGCATTTGGGATCCTAAAAGCACAAAGAATATGTGAATCATGAAAAAGAATCAAATGAGTCATAGTGATAAATTGAATGTAATATGTTGCATAACTATCATGTTGACTTTAACAAGTTAATGAAGTAAGACAATGGACAATGAATAGCATATTAGAAAAACAATTATGCATTTTAGGAATGATAGAAAACTATGGAGCAGTTACAAGAACAATCATTTGGAGATAATAAAATACAAAAGAAACCAGAAAACCAGGAAACACTTATGAGCTTGAAAAGAACCAATGAGAAAAAATACATAGGAGGGTACCTTCGGCCAACACAAATGGTTTTCTGAAAGCAGCCTGAGTCTATAAGGGATAGAAGATTAAAGTTGCGGACAACATAAAATGTACCTCAAGATAACAGGCTCCATTAGCTGGATATGCTTTTTAATTTAAGTACAAGTAACTAAGAATGAATCTTTGAGAACAGAAAACCATAAAGTGGTTATGTGCCACCAAAAAACACTTCTTTTTTTAGTTACTAGTAAATACTTCTTTTTTTTAATTGAAGATTTTTGTTTCCTTTAGATCATTTTATATGCCAGATGACAATTTTTATAATGAGATTTTTATTTTCAAAATTGAGATGTACAGCTGAGAAATTAATAGTTACTCTTCCTTTCTTTTAACAACCATGTAATGAGCACCACCAGTTTTAAGCTGGGATAACTGTGAGTCTTATAAAGATGAATAATAAGACAGCCATTAATCACAGGGGCTAACAATCCATCAGGGATGCAGTATGTACAAATGCATACAGTGCCTACCATTAATGTTCACTAAAATTATGCTACAAAAGGCATTTCATGAGTGATATTGAGAATTGCAGGGGCTAAGAGATAAAAGATAAATTTGACTTTGGAATATCAGGGAGGACTTCATGAGGACAGTAGATAAAGCAGTATTTGTTGAAAAGCAAGGAAGAAGGCCAAAATTCAAGCTCTTCTCCCACTTACAATCTGTTGTTTAAATTTTCATATCTCACTTGACCCTCCTCATTTATAAATGAGACTGAAAACTGCCTTATGGATGGATTGCATATCTAAAAATGAATTGCATATCTAATAATAAATAAATTTTTAGACAATATAGAAAAAAATCTTGTTCTTTTAAAAATGTCTTTATTGATTTTTAGAGAGGAAGGGAGAGGGGAAAAAGAGATAGAACATCAATGATGAGAGACAATCATTGGTCAGCTGCCTCTTGCACACAATCTACTGGGGATTGAGCAGGCAACCCAGGGCATGTGCCCAGAATGGAAATCAAACTAGTGACCTCTTGGTGCATGGGAAGATGCCCTACCACACAGCCATTCCACCTTGGCCATTGGTTGATCCTTGTATGTGCCCTGACCAGAAACTGAATCCACAGCCTTAGCATATCAGGGCAACACTTTAATCAACAAAACTACTTGACCAGGGACTTACAATCTCTTGATTTAAATTTTCTATGGATTCAGAAAAAAGAAAATAATGTACTGAGAAATGTTGGAAGGATTTTTCACATGGAAATACTGCTGTCCAATGGATTTTTTATCAAAGTCCAAGCACAGGGCAATCGGATAAATTTGAATTTAAGATAAAAGTCAAATATCTTTTAAGAATAAGTATGTCCCATGTTGTATTTGGGAGATAGTTATACTGAAATGCTATTTGTTTTTCATATGAAAATCAAATTCAACTGTTGTCCTATATTTTTGTTTAATCTGGCAACCCTATCAGCCAGCATCCTATGACAATATGACTCACCTGGGCAGCGGGTTTCTCTTCAAACCCCAGAATTACTACTTATTGGTGCTGCACATCTTTAGGACTTGGATTCATCTTTACTCAACTTGTCCAAGTATCTTATCCATTTACCTTTTCCCGATGGAACAGGGTATTTCCTCTGAATCTGGCCCTAGCTCTTCTGGGCCCCAGAGTTTTAGCTTTTTTTTTCAGTTCTTTTCAATAAGAGATGGATCCTCCCATGTCAAATTAAAAGCAAGATCTGCTATGAGTTAACAAAAAGAAAGAAAACTAAAGGCCGTTTAGATAATTTTATACCTTTGTGAGCAAAATACCTCAGCAGGGCCTATACCTGTTGGCAACAGGGTCTGTGCATGGCAAGAAAAGGTCCATTTAAAGAAACTGGAGCTAATCAGCACACGGTGACTGCTAGCAGCCCCTCCCTGAGAATATAGTGTGTAGGACAGATTATCCAGAACTAGAGCCAAACTGATAATTTCTACTTTTGAATTATCTAGAACTGTCTACTGGATGGCATTATGCCTGACTTGATTGCACACGCTGATAACTTGTTCTCTTTGACTTAGAATGAGACATCCAAACTCCTTCCAAAGTTAGCTTTCTCTCAGTTTTGGAAGAGCCACCTTGGCCAGTAGGAAACTCCTGGTCTCAACAGGCATATTATTCCTCTACCTTATTAACCATGTACTTGCATCTGCTTTTGTGATGTCAGGACACAAAGGAAATGTCTGTGTGGGGTGACCCATGAAGAAGTAAAAGTAAAGAGTTTGTATTTTCAACTGGTAGGAGACTGGCTTCGGAGACTCTTCTTGGAGACACGCTTCAGGGACTCACTCAGAGGACCAGGCTCCAGAAACCACTTATGACTGGCATGGTGCTTGGTTTTTGATGAGAGTCCACAGCTGATTTTCACTTGGGGAACCTGACATTAGATACAGGAGAAGGTGACAGGAAAACTGGACGTCAGCTGCCCACTGGAACTCTTCTTAGAAGCTCCTACCAACTTCCACAAAGAGGGAGGCCTGAGCAGACCTCAGCTTCTCACTTTTCCTTGCTCCTGGAGGATCACACTGACTGAAGAGAGTCTCTTCTGATAGACACCTTCACTGCACCATGGCCTTTGACACCCAATTACGTTATATGACTGAGATTATTAAGCAAATCCCCACCTCAGGGAGCCAGAGGAAAATGCAGGAAGAAATGCCCCTGTGTGGGAAGCACCATGAGGTTCTGACCCTGTTCTGTGAGAAAAGCCTGGAGCTGCTGTGTCACCAGTGCAAGGGCTCCTTAGACCCCCAGGATCAGCCCCTGATCCCCATTGAGGAAGCTGTAGCTAGTCAGAGAGGGATGCTCAAAAGGTACATTGGGGTCCTCACTAAGAGCCTTGAAAGTGATGAAACTGTATATAAAAAGCAAGATGCAAATATTTGTGAAGTAAAGAGAAAGATGGAAAAATGGAGGGAGGAATTGGACTATGAATGTAAAGAACTTAAGTTTTTATTGGAAATAGAGCACGATGAAATTGATAACGATCTGCTTATAGCAGAGAATGATGGTGAAGAAAAACTAATTGAAAACGGAAGGCAAATTTCATACCATATGTTCAGGCTAAACATTCTGTTATTTGAAATAGAAGAGAAGTGTTTACAGACAGACCTGGATTTACTCACAGGCATTGAAAGCATCCACAACAGCTATGGAAACATAGAGTCCCCAGCCATCTTTCCATATAAATTAAAGAAAGAGATTTTCACTCTCCCCCCACATTATTTGGGCCTGCATAAAATGATCCGCACGTTTCAGGCAGATTTGACACTGGATCCGGAAACTGCCCATCCAGACCTCCTTATCTCAATAAGTGGAAAACAGGCAACATACTGGAAACCAGATTACATTCTTAATCCCCAGGCACTTACCTCTTACCCAGCTGTCCTGAGTTCTGAGGGATTTGATGCTGGCAGGCATTTTTGGGTGGTAACCATAGGAGTCACAGGTGAATTTTCCTTAGGTGTGTGTAAAGAATCCTTCCCCATAAATACTCTCATATCACCATCGCCAAGCAATGGCTGCTGGACTCATACATTTGGCCCTTTCTCTATTCCAAAAGAAATGATTGGTGTTTTTCTGGACTATGAGTTGGGAGAGGTTTCATTTTTTATAATTTAGACCTGCTCATACTTGTACAGAATCACTGCTACATTTACAGGAAAACTTATGCCTTATTTCTCCATTGCATCTTCTTCAGAAGCTTTTACCAGTATCATCACAGTCTAGTGATGACAAATTTGAAAGAAATTTTGTATGTGCTTAGTTGTTCCCTTGTTATTGACAGGAATACTTATAATAAAGATCCTGATTCCAGTTTTGATGTTTGAATGTTGCAAGTTTTTAGGATGTACCCTTCTCCTCCCTGACCTTAAACCTGGGAAAGCTGATGAGAAAGTCTAGGTGCTCCATCTTGGAGGTAGGGGGAAAGTGTCAATCAAACAAGCTTCTGCCAACATCATCCAGTACCTGCCATGAACACCACAACCTGCTCCCAGGCATTTTGGGACCTACTGTAATATCCAGCCTTATCTCGGTCCAAAACCTCATCATGTAATAAACATTTTCACACTCAAAAAAAAGAATTTGTATTTTCTCTGCTTATAATTCTAGACACTCTCCCAGTCAAAGGTCAAACTTTGATGGCATAATAATCCCTGATTAGGCTGAAACTGAAAGATCCACCTGAGTACTTTGGGACTAGGGAAGAAAGACAGCATATTTCTCACCACAGCTGTAATAATATATGCAGTCAAGAGGACAAAGAAGCCTCCCATCTCAAAGACAGGGCTAGAGTTCAAGCTGGGAAGGTGATCCCAAACAATTCTTCAAAAGAAAAATACTTAAGCAAGGACAGCTTGCTGAAGTACAGGTTCAGATTTGGGAAGGAGAGTCCAAAAAGTGAAAAGTAAGAAATACTAGGGATTAAAAATAGAAAAGAGAAGTCAAGGCCATTTAGATTATTTTCATATTTCATTGGGCAAAAAACCTCAGCAGGGCCTTTGCATGTCAATAGCAGGGTATTTGCTTGGGGAAAAAAAGGTCCATTTAAGAGAACTGAAGCCATATAAAGCTTATATCCATTTCCTTTCCATTGCTGTTTCTTACTCCTTACAGGTTCTAGGCACAAGGGATCTTTCTTGAGCAACATTTCCACAGTAGCATGTATAACATTGTAATACCTGAATCCAGATTTTATAGGTCTAACCTCAGCTCTTTCACTGGCTGTCTGTATGGCCTTGGGAGATTTATTTAACCCCTATGCCTAGTTGCCTCATCTGATTGATGTGAGGGTTGAATATATTGCAAAGTGTTGACATATGAGAACTGTGTAAGTGCTAGCTGATATTACTAATCTTATTATTAATTATTGTTATTATTTGGTCAAGAAGAGTTTCTCATGTCATCACCCTGTGCGGTGGACACATGGGCAACACAGAAGGGAATGGATGCCTCTTGAGGGTCAGATGTGTGTAGCACCATTTGAACAGCTTTGCTTCTAACATATTTAATCTACACAGTGTTCAAGAAAGATAGATAGCATCATGCCTATTTTGCAGATAAAAACACTGAGGCTTAGAAAGGGAAACTAACTGGGTGAAGGTCATCCAGCTCGAAGGTGACGGGCTCAGCATACCATCACTCAGTCATATTTGAAGGCTTTGGTTCATGTCACAATGCTAGAAGGATTCTCAGAAAGTAGGCATTTTAACTCTTTCTTGACTTTACAAAAGCAGATGTTTGTCTCCCTTTGACATACATCCATGCTGTCTTTTACTAGTATAAGGGCATCTCTTGGTTCTGAGTCTAAGAAAACAGCCTGATTGAATAAACTATTCAAACAACATTGGCAGGAATAGAGGGCAGGCAGGAGGTTTGAGAAGGAGTTCAATGGCTATGGCTGCATCCTAAGTGCTAAGGACTATAAAGGTACAAAAATGACCTGGACCAACCACAGAAGAGCTCACAGCTCCCTTTGTAACTGACAGTTACATTTCAGAAACACACACACACACACACACACACACAAAGAAAAATATTTGGAAATTCCTGTTTTCCTTATGGACCCAAGCTTTGCTCTGAACACACATCTCATATATATTCAAGACATTATAAAATCAAAATATTGTATAAAACATTGAAGTTGGTACTAGAGAGCTGTAAGACAGGGACATAATCACTATAAAGAGATTATTTATTTCCTATGAATGGAATCACATTAAATGCCTGAGGCAGAAAGAGACATGAAGAACTGTTTAAGTTTTCTTTCCTTTTATGAAGACAATCCCAGTGCTTTGTTTTAATAGGTAATTGCATATCTTAAGTTAGAATTACTTATGTCTTTGTTTTTCATTTGATGACTTACAAATGAGACATGTTTAGGACAGAATACATCCTATGAGAATCCAGTAAAACATGTATGAGTTTCCACTCACTACTATTACTGTTAACTACTGCTGCTACTACTAACACTGTATTGTTAACCTTATAAAGTTCTTGCTATGTGCTGGGTACTTTGCTGAGTTATCTTATTAACTCTGACAAGAGCACTTCAGGTGAAGAAATTGAAGCTTAGATTATTAGAATAATCAAGATTGTTCTCCCAGTGGAACAGTTCATCTCTTGAGCTCTCTCTAGGAGTTAAATTTTGGCTCTACCAAATTATCTAAAAATTACTTTGGGTAATTTGTCCCACTCTGAACTTCCATCTCCTCATCTATTAAATGAAAATAATAGTGACTGCCTCACTAGAAGTGTTGCTATAATATTGTGTGATATATTCAAGAGAAAGCACTCTACGCAAAGAACAAATGCGACTTATTATTATCGAATGTGATCTATCTTAGGCCCCAAAGCTTTGTGTGACATAATTAAGCAAAAGCAAATATCCCACAAAAGTTGGGTAAATGAAGCCCAGTTACAATATGCTATGTCTAAAAATATTACTGCCAGTGCTTCAAAAGATAAGCAAAACACAAAATTGGAGCAGAAGTCATTTTGAAACTTGATTGGGGATGAGGAGCTAGGTCAATACCAGAGACCTGCAGGAGCTAGGACGAAGGCTCTGGAGGGCACTCCTCCTTAGAGGGCAGTTTGAGTCCTTGCCTGGCTGTGGCACTGCATGTCACCAAAGCCGTCACTAATGTTTGCATTTAGTACATTTTATATCTTCTATCAAGAGGATTTTGCTAATTTTTTTCATGTCTAATCAAAGCAGAGAACATTACTAAAAAAATGTTTAATCATATTGAAATAAAGACTTACAGAGAAGAAGAAATTAGTTTTGCAAGAGTCCCTACTTTGGGAGGAGTTTCTTTTAGCAGTAACTGCATACATAACATAGTATTTTGATTTGTGTTTATGGTGGCGTACACAGTACATACATTTGCATGCTAGGTGTATCTATCTGTATATATACGTATAGGTGTGTGTACACATTTGTTAATAGTCCCTTAGACACATGCATTAGATTCCTGTTCACTGGCTTTTTCATGTTTATTGGAGCATTTTATATAGTCTATCAAGAGGATTTTGCTAACTTTATTCATGTCTAAACAAAGCAGAGAACATTACTGAAAAATGTTTAATCATATTGAAATAAAGACTTACAGAGAAGAAGAAATTAGTTTTGCAAGAGTCCCTACTTTGGGAGGAGTTTCTTTTAGCAGTAACTGCATACATAACATAGTATTTGGATTTGTGTTTATGGTGGCATGCACAGTACATACATTTTCATGCTAAGTGTATCTATCTGTATATATATGTATAGGTGTGTGTACACATTTGTTAATAGTCCCTTAGACACATGCATTAGATTCCTGTTCACTGGCTTTTTCATGTTTATTGGACAGATTCATACTTTCTAACATTTTATAGTAATAAATATGTTTTACATTTTGATTGTCACAAAAATAATTATTATTATTTGTTTATAATGAGAGGATTGAGGCTTGGGGATTTAAAAAGACTTACCTCAGGCCACAGTCCTTGCATGGTCATGAGTATAAAGTGGGAACTACCTCCTATGGCTTTTCAGTTTATGCTACACCAAGCTTGCCTCACTCATACTTATGCTTCTAGTTTAAAAATTCAATCTTTCTCCCTCTGTCCTTCCCTCCCTCCCTTCCTTCTCTCTCCTTCCCCTTTTCCCTCTCTCCCCTCTCTTTTTCTCTTCCTCTCCATCTCTACTTATGAAGTAATCTAGTTTTCATACAGAATAGTAGATATTCTATTACATTCTTATTATATATACAACTAGTCTCCTTTTTGCATATGTTTCCTGTGCACAGTTGTATTTGTTTTGGGTGAAATTTAGATCCAATAATATTAATTAACAAGATCCAATGTTAATGGAATCCTGAAGTCCATATATGGTGTGTGTTAACTATCAGACCAGCACTCATTGTCCTGACCAGAGCCACTATTTTAGATAAAGAATGATGAATGAAAGATGCTAATGACAATGTTGTGAAATGAAAAAGTGGCAATGCTATGTACAAGTTTGAGTAATAGCTCCACAAGTTTCCTTTAGTGACTAGTTAGAAACAAACTCTGTAATAATTCTATGTCTAATGGTCAATGATGCACCTTCAATATTAAGAATCTTTATTCCTGATTTGAGGTAACATTTGGATTCCCAAGAATTGTAACAAAGTTTTCTAATGAAAACTAACTGTACTCTGGTTAAGAGCAGTATATGTAGGAGGAATAAGTAGCTTTACTACAAAAGATTTATAAGGGATCCAGGGAAGATTTGCAATGTAATTAATCAGTCATGTGCATGTAGGAGCACTTTAAGCCCTGTTTAACAGCATGGAAGGTAACAGCTATGAATAATTTCCTGCAATCAATTTTAGAAATCCTCACTACTTTAAACTTACATGCCACAAAAATAACAAAATACTTCTACAGTGGCCCACTTTGGTTTTATTGATGGTACCCATCAATCAGTGAGTGTAAGTTTGTTCCCATATCTTTACCACTGAGGATTGCAAAACAACAGAAAGTAATTTAAATGCAGTACTGGCTTGCTTTCTAAAGTCCTTAAGACGTTAGATATATTTTAAAAGACAAATGGGGAAGTAGCCCAGTAAAAAGTTTGGATCTAAAATATAAAAGAG